AGAACGATAGAAATTAACGCACTTTTGTTTAAAATAACATTTTGAGAAATTGTTATGAAATAAGAAATGTTGAACGTCTATAAGGATCAAGATTAAATAAATACAAAAACTTTTGCTATCTAAGGGCCATTTAAATTTGCATCCATTATGGTACACTGATGATTAGATCAGTGTTTCTAATGAAAATTCTACACATGGCTTATAGAAACGATGTATATGTTTACACTTTATTATTGTCAACAAAATATATCAAAGTGTAAAAAAAGAAGTATCTGACAAGCTTAAAAAACAAAAAATTAAATTCATATTTTTTTCTTTAATGGGGAAATATAAATTGATATCTAACAAATTAAGAAGCTCTAAATAAATGTAGTAATTTTATCATCTGATGCGCTAATATTAAATATCCAATGTCGCCTCGTATGGCGTAGTATGCATGAGGTCACGTGTACGAAGTGCTACTCTTATGGTGTCGTGCAGGTACCGAGTGTTACATGCATATGATACCACAGCATGTACAAAATGTACGTACAGTTTGTAACAGGTCTTGCTATTGGTCGATTTTTATCCTACAATCTACGTGCTATTTGCATCTAAGTTTTGAATGAACTGTAGAAGCTGGTTTACCTTCTACTACAAGTTTATTTAGATTCTTAAAAACATAGAAACACTGATTCAAATTGAAAAATTTGGAATTTATTTAATCTAAAAACTGAAAAGTTAAAAAGATAAATACATGTTTGTAATGATTAATGGTATATTTTTTCATAATGTGAGGACAGTTAGCAGCGCATTTGAGTATTGCTTGATGATATTTGCTCTTGAAACTGTGCTGGTTCTCGAGTTGGCTATGCTGAATGTAAAATTCAATTCTCTCTCGAATAGTGATATTTTCAAGGTGTTTCATCTGCTAAGAAGGTGGATTTATGTAAAAATATGGGATTCTCCACTTTGTTATGGTGAAATTTCTCTCATTGTCTTCTGATCATCATTCGAATTCATATGAACAAAGAATTACCATCTTTTTCGTTTTGGTAGATATGTTTAAATTATTATCCATTTCAAAATAAAGTGGACTCGGTTGTTTGTTTAATAACTCTGCAACGCTAATAGCTATTGAAGCGCGATTTTCACCGTTAGATAGAGGCTGGCTGGGGGGTACCTCTATAACTGAGAGTCAATGAACTTTGAAATTTTTTTCGCAGTATTGCAGGTATTTTTAATAAAACTCTAACAGGTTTTTTTTATTACATACATTCTTAATTTCAATTTAGCCAAATTGTAGTCTAGCATCTGCTCTATAAACGCTGAAAGTTTCAGACTTCCCTTCTGTGTCTCTGAGATACAAGAAAAAATCCCCTGAAATCGAATAATGCTAAATTTTGAATTTTTTTTGTCTCAAACCTCTCATCCATAGAGATGATAGAATCTACTGATTATTGTAACGTTATTACTTAGATGATAGACTCGGCGCGCTCTATCGAATGGACACCTTATAAGTTCGATTCCATCCTCCTGGCTGTCACAAACCGGCCAATCCGGACCCCGATATGGGTCTTTTTTGGTATGACCCGCCACAATTCGCTCAACTGCCGGTTCTAACAAAACAAATAATGGTTCCAGATAGAACTCAATGAGACCTACCGAATGGACACCTCTTCAGCTTAATTCTATGCTTGCATCACTAAGAAACCGGCCAACTCGGATCCAATTCTAGATCTTTTCCCGTAATACCTGTCACAATTCACTCGACAGATAGTTCCAACAATACAAATAATAGTTCCGTGTAGATCTCGATGAGAGTTATCGAATCGACATCTTTTGAGCTCAATTCGATGCTCCCATTATTAAGAAACCAGTCAACCCTGGTCCCAATTCCAGGTTTTTCCCGATAATGCTTGACACGATTCGTTCAGTAGATGATTCTAACAAAACAAATGATGGCTCCAGATAGATCTTGATGAGAGCTATCGAATGGACACCTTTTGAGCTCAATTTAATGCTCTCCCCAATGAGAAACTGGTCAATAGGAATCCCAACATCCGATTTTCTTGAAAAACCAGTCGTGATTTTCTTCCCTGGTGGTTACAACTAAACTATCAATGATTCCAGATAGATCTCGACGACAGCTATCGAATGGGCACCTTTTGAGCTTAATTCGATGCTCCTATCATTTAGAAACCGGTCAGTCTGGGGCCGAATTTGAGACCTTTTTCATAAGGCCTGTCACGATTCCCTCAACAGATGGTTCCAACAACACAAATGATAGTTCCATATAGAACTTAATGAGAGCTACCGAATGAATACCTTTTCAAGTCGATCCGATGCTCCCATCACTCAGAAACCATCCAATAGGGAGTTTCGATATTCGATTCTTTTTGCAAAAGCTGGTCGCGATTTGTTCCCCTGGCGGGTGTGGATGTGTATCTTCTAAAAGAGATACCCACACCCTAGAGGGTACAGGAGTCTGAAACCTCGATGTCATAGTATGATAAATAACCATGCTAGAATGGTAGTCTGTGTCGAGCTTGTACTCACCCGGCTGAGAAGTGCATCTGACATTTATTGGACGAAAGAAACACTTTTTAGACCCTCTGACAATATACCAATATAGTTAAAGTAATGATGTACTCATTCAGGCTCGAAACGAATCTTGCCTATATGTTTAGTAATTATGTGAAACTGTACACGATTTTAAACGTTTGAGAATAGTTTTAGTACATTCACCGCTGTCGAATACCTATAATCTGTAAATTTCATCGCGATGAGTCATATCCCACCGATATCTTTGTGTCAGTCGAAAGATATTAATGATAAATGGTAAAGTGGTCATAGCAAGAGAAGTAGTGATTTACGGTTTTTCGTAAACCATGGAGGGCTATTTGTTTTATTTTTCGAAAAACAAATTTTAAACAATAGAAAAACCTTTTCTTTTCTTATGAATGGGTACTCGAACAAGAAGGCGATGTGTTTCCAAGGATCCAATGGTACCGATACAGTTTTTTTCGTAATAACTATGACTAATCAGATAAAACAGAAGTTATTGAGTGCCTACCTGACTTCATCCACATCAAGCCAAGTGTAGTATGATAAAGGTCAAAATATCTGAGACATACAAGGAACAAATACATGAGGAAAAAAAAGAGGTCACTGAGATATTTATTACGTTGGTCTCTTTGCAACAAAGAAATAGTGCTTAAACCAAGTATGTATAGTTTAAAACTTAACGTGTAGAAACTTTCGATTACGCTAACTTCAACAGTACTACTAGTTTTCCTTAATTTTGATTTTCAAATGATATTTTAAAATATTCAAACTTCAAGCTTTTAGGTTTTAAAGATAGTTGATTTAGAATTCTACGATAATAGATATGCTTATTTATTATATTGGCTTATGATATAGAGTGCATTTTCTTCACTTCATAACTTATTTAAAGAAGAAAAAATTTAGAAGATTTTTTAAAATAAATTTATTGTTTTTATCTGTTGCAGATAAGATTTTTATGAACTTTTATTCGCTTTAAGTTCGGCGTTTTTCCCATGTTATCAAATAAACATTGTATTTATTAGTAGTTTTATATATCGAGTTCAACTTTTGTATAAATCATTTTCTGCTAACATGATACAACAATCGTTGACTTATCCTATGCTGAAATTTCCTATTATTAATGCACAATTTTATTCATCAACATAAAGCTTGAGGATAATGATTCATCATCAACTGAAATTCAATGTAGTTTACATTCTGATATTAAAGAATTACAATTACCTTACATTAGATTTTCACTTGATAGACAATCTATCAAAATATTAGCTGAAACAGATATTATACCTTTTTCAGACGTCGATAAAGAAACAATTAAAGATACCTTAAAATTCTTGGATGATTTTATTAACCATTTTCCATCAATGGTAAACAATAAAAAACGTGATTATTGTCTTTTGGGTCAGCATTTTTTACGAAATGTTGGTTCTATTCAATTAAATAAAGCTATAATATTTATTGATAAACAAAAATTACGTGAAAAATCATTTCCACCAAATGATAAAAGTATTAACGAAATTGTAAACTTCTTATTCTTTCAACGGCCTAAACTTGCTAGAACTGAACAATTTCTCGTTTGCGAGAACAATGAACATGGTGGAAAAGATTTGTTGAACATATCTGATGAATAAATAGATATTGATGAACCTTACTAACTGTAATGCATATTTTAAATTGGTCTATTGATTTATGTACAATTATAGTACTTTGCTCCGCAATTCAAGTTGAAAACTTGATTTTTTCCAGTTTTGATGTTATTTTAATCGTTGTCATTTTTTCTAAGCAACAAAAGATATCGATTTTACAATGTGTCTATAATTACCTAGAGTTAGATGGCCACAGACACGTTGTATTATCAATAACCTTTGTTGCTTAGAAAAAATGATAAAGATTAAAATAACATCAATACTGAAAACAGTCACGTTTTCGCCGTGAATCGGGGACCAAAGTACTATAATTGTACATAAATCAATAGATCAATTTTAAATATGCATTACATTTAGTAATGTTATAGAAAAAACTATTAAAGTTGTTGTTATTTTTTTTGAATAAAATCTTTTTTTCTAAGATCATCTAAAAATTTAGTCTGAGTAAGTTCAAACAACTGTTTATATGTGTCTTAAAAGGACATTTTTCTTCTAAATAACGATCATTGGAAGATATTATATTTGATGAAGAAAAACTGAGAAGATACTGAAAAAAAAAGAACACGATCTCCAGTTGTTCATTTGATCTTCTTTCGATGAGAATCAATTGATGAGTAACCATCATATCTAGATGATAGTTTACATGGAAATTCTCATTTCATTGATCAATAATGAGAATTCAAATCGAATCTTTGATTAATATTCCAGTTTAATGAAGAACAATAGAAAATTCTTCATAGCTGATTGAACTTATTCATTAAAATATTCTATTGAAGAACTTCTTTGAAGATGTTAATCTTGACAAAGTTAATTGAATTGATTTCTTTTCGGATCAATCGATTTCTCTCTGAATAGTTGATCATTTATATATTGATCAAATAGAAAAGATAGTGGAGATTGATCTAATCAGAATCTCTGTTATTCTTTTTATTTTTTGCAAATTGATTTTTTTATTTCAATTCAATAGAAATCATCTCTTTCAAGAAGAATATTTCAGATCTAACTAGTCAACACTAAACGAGAATTCCTTCTTATCTAAATATAATGAAGAAAGCTCTTTCTATAATAAAATTGATAATACAATTGAAATCTCTTCTGATTTTTCTATTTACAATCTTATTTCATATTAAACTAATCAATAAAAATAACACAATTGAATTGAATGATCAATACTTTTATTGATATATTCTTACATAGTGATAGATACATAGAAAACTTCATTTTAGACAAAAAAGTCATTATTCAAACAGATATTCACTTCGCCTCTCAATCTTGCTTTTTTTTCAATTAAAGTATTTCGTCCAAAACTGATTGTGTGTTTGTTCTTTTGAAAGAAATTTGAAAAGTTCCAAGATCATTTTTAATTCATTTTCATATTCGATTGATCTTGATTTACTTTGTGGAATTAATTCAGATTTGTTCGAAATTATACGTTAAGAATTATCTTCAGAAAATACTCGAACAAAATCAAAGTCTTATCGGTAGAAACTAATCAATGAAGTTGAGAGAAGATTCATTTTATTATTAATTATCTATAGAAATGAAAAAGTAGTAATAAGAATGATATTATTATTGAGAAATAGAATTCGAGAATGTGATCAAACTTCGTTCTTCTAAGAATGAGATCTTTCAAATGAAATTTAGTCAATTGAAAGATTTTCACAGAATGATCAATATGATATGAAAAGACTTTTTTTTCAAATATTCAATCTTATCATTAGATTTAAGAT